CCCTGCATCCTCTTGGCCCTGCTCTCAAGGGTCGTTGGGAAAGCCCTCTAGCCCTCGCGCTACGGGAACTACCACAACTATGTGAGCGGTCTGGCCCGACTGCTGCTCACTCGGTCATCTCTTACACTCCCTATGTCAAGGGAGCCTGGTGTTCATGATAGTCGGCCTAAGTACTTTACGACTCGCATACAATCGACCGGATCGTGTCTCACACTCTCCCTCCCTCCGGTCCGTCTCCTGAATCATTGTCTCCCTTCCGAACAATGGCCTTCATTTCTCTAAGCCTCCGCCCCCGCCATACCAGTGGGTGTACGGAGCATTGCCATGAGACAAGTCTAGAGTTGCATCAGCTGGTCTTATCTACGATATACTCCGTACACTCCACCTCGCTCGGAAGGCGGCTAGCCGGTAAATATGCCAGATATTAAGAGAGTTGAGCCTGGTAAAACATGTCATGTTGTATAACCATCCCACACCTCTACCATGTCTTCCCTAGCAGTGATCACCTGGCCTTTCTCCGAAGGGCGACTGGGTGATTACACGAGCAGAGAGACGGCCTCTGCTCTGCAACTGATTTGCCTCTTTTAGCCGCGCCTACGCGGCGATTGGTGTGGCAGGACCACACACATAGCCTGGTTTGCTGATGCCGTCGCGATCGCATTTAGGGAGCTAATCTAATCGACCTGACGGTGACGGTGACTTTACAGCTGCCATCCTTCCAGGTTATTTGCCAGGTAAGGGAAGATAGCAGCCCTATAGATCCCCAAGGATGACATCAATGACGATGCGAGTCAAGCTACGAGCTCCCACACCTTTGTGGGGTCCAGACTGCTGTGTGGCATTGAGACGGTGGCTTACTGAGACTGTTGTCTAGTCATCAATTCACATTTGGTGTCATGCCCTTGCGTTCTTCGGGCAAGACGATGCAAGACGAGACCTGCTGGTGGAGTTTTAGAGCCGTTCTAGAGTCGCGAAACTGTCTCCCTCCCACACCACCCTTCTCGACGAGCTGGAAAGGCGGCATGACCATTTCAGCTCTGCTCTTGGTGAATCAGTTCTCGACCTGATGGCTGGCTCATTTCCGTCTAGGATCGCCATCTTCCCCATTATCTTACATGTCCAAGCAGCGCCTGGGTCACGATGCTTTGAATGAAAGAACCACTCAGGACCTGTGCCGCCGACGATGTCGTGCATGCAGGAATTCTAATCACTCATTGGAGAGAGGGGCCAGATTGTGGAGGGGAATAACCGTTTTCTGCACGATGATAAGGCACGCTGCTTGTCTCGACTGCAAGTCATCTCTGGTGCTGCAGGAAAGCATGGGAAAGCAAGCAAAAGCGACGAGGGGGGCATGCTTGGAGATACCTCGATGATTGGGTCGAGGAGGGGCTATGTTCAATGATCACCAGGCCGGTTCGCCAACTTCACTAACTTGACTTGTTAGTCTTCCTTCTTTGTCTTCGGCAAATTACACCGCCATGTGCGCTTATCCACAAAATTGCGGGCGCGTGCACGGATGAGGGAGAGAGGGAAGGCGAGAGGAGAACGGAGCCGGAGGGGGATGCTGGTGGGATGGTGGGATGAGAGAAGTGAAGTGCTGAAGACGCGAAAGTTCGCGTCAGACGTGTTCCTACACGTGTAATTTCAATTTAGCGTGGTTTTCGCGTTAGGTGAGCAGGGGGCCTTTGTCGCTCACCGCTCTTGACCTCCTCTTGTCAGTCCCACCCCACCCTTCAAGCCCAACTTATTGATCGTGGGCTTCTTCAAGCTCTCTTGGGTGGGCTTGTCCAAGGCCAGCACCAAAAGCTCCACACAGATGGGAAGGCTCTGCTGACTTACAGCTGGCTTGACACACAAAACCCTAACCCCGAGGCTGTAGGTACGATTGATGTCATACAATCTTCGGTAGTTGCAACTGTCTGTTGATCGCTGCCACATCCGCAACAAAGCCTTTCTGGTCCATTTTTGGGTTAATTCCGTTTGCTTCAATGAAAGTCTGCTCTCAACCTGAAAGTTCGGTTTCATTGTGTTATGAGGAAACGATCGTAAAGTATCAATAATGCCACTGTCAACCTACGTCTTACAGCCTGATTTTGATTATGAGAGGGAGACTGGTGCCTCACTTTGGCTGTCAGGCGCAGTGACGTGTGTGTTCGAGGATATTGCAGTCCGAGCCCGGCAATTCAGTCTATATAGCGAAACAATGTCGACCACTTTCTTTGCAAGGCGGGGGCTGAAGTGTCCGAAATCCCAAAAGAGAAGTGGCGGCCGTATCCTGAGGGGGAATCGCCATTGTCCAACAAATACTCAGGAATTTTTTTGACCTCGCCTTCAAGGGCGCAGGATAGAGTTCCCCGCACCATCTGCCTCGTTCTTCACTTTGCCTGCCTGCTATTTGCGCCGTGTTCGGGGCTTGGATGACGAGGCGCAGTAGACCTCATCTAAGTGGCTGGAGTTCCATATCTGCGCGCCTGGGTATTCGCTTGACAAGGCTCTGGACAAACCGACATGCGAAAGTCTGTCCTGCGCCCCTGAACTTGAGGTCTAAAAAAATCCTGAGGATTGTCGACTTATTTGGCAAGGCTCTACACACCTTCCAGAGAAAAACTTTGATGAGCACGTTCACTAATTCGAGTTAAGTAGACCAGGCAAGAGACTCGTAATTGGTTTGCGTTCTAGTACAATAAGTTTGATGATCCATAACACACGCACAACTAAGAGACAAAGTATATCAAGCTATCGACCTAGTGCTAAATCTACTTTTCTCTACCATCACTCGCACATGAAATCTTTGACAAGTCTTTGGGCTCCATGATCAGATGACTACGGTAGCGCTTACAACACAGCAACATCGGAGGGATGCCTCATTACTTGTCAGAGAGCAAGTCCTGTCGACACGGCCAGATTAGCTTCCGGAAAGTATAGTCTTTGAGTGCTTCTTACAAGGTATTCTGTCCACAAAGCAGTACTCCTCGACTCTCTTGATGTGGTAAACCCCTCATGTGACAAGAAAACCTTCCGGCGTTGACGTGCTTGAACTTTCTGCCAAGGATTATGAGTAGATGTCTCGAAGAATAGCCCAGAAAAGCTTACATCTTCAATCGTATTCGCGGCAATATATCGAACAATCGTGACAGAGTTCTCTTGTCCAAGCCGAAGGACTCGCCCGATGGCTTGACTTTCCACGGACGGATTCCACTGCGGCTCGAGGATGTGGAGGCGATTTGCAACAGACAGACTGTTCAATCTGTGTTGAGCTTGTGTTAGCAAAATGGTTTGAGAGATTTGTCGAAGCACCAGTCTCACCCCATAGCTCCCGTGCCCAAGGTCATGAGCAGTGCTACCACATCTCCTCTCGTAGCGAACTCAGAAAGGATTTTCTTCCGAGTCCTCAGTGGAACGTCCCCGTCAATCCGAAGAAAAGGTAACTCGTTTTCCAAGAACATTTTCTCCACGATGTCGAGCGTCTGCTTCCAGAAGCTGAACACAACACTTGAATCAAATTAGTAGGTTAAAACA